AACTATATAAAAACTTGTGCAATCGCTGGGATTTTGAGTCAATAAGACATGACAATATAGACACATTTTCAAATAATCTAACTACGGCTATAATAAGCTCAGCAGAGCAATCTATTCCCCGAACAAAAGAAACTAACAGGAAATCCCCAAACCTTGGTGGTCAGATAATCTATAAACTCTAGTCAACATCCGAAAATCGGCGCTACGAAAATACAAACGTAGGCCGAATGAGGAGACTAGAACTGACTACCTTGAAGCTAAACTTTCCGCAGAGACAGAAATCAAAAAGGCCAAGGAAGAAAACTGACAAAATTTTTGTAGCTCCCTCAATGATCGAACAAATATAAAGACAGTATGGAACAAAATATCAGGAATCACCGGTAAAAAAGTAAGACATAACATACTTCTATTAAAATATAAAAACGAAACAGCATTAAATAACACGCACAAAGCAAACTTGTTAGGACAGACTTATGCAGACGGCTCTAGCAACAGCCAACATAATAAAACATTCAAGGTTATTAAAAATTCATTCCTAAAAAATCAACCCCTAATAGTGCTCGAGGATGCAGATAACGAATCAGATTTAAATAGTCCCATTAATATAGATGAGTTGAAAAAAGCATTGCGGGCTAAATCCGACAGCGCAGAAGGTCTTGACTGTGTGGAATACACAATGCTATAAAATCTACCCGAGAAAGCACTATCGTTAGTCCTTGATGTCGTTAATCTCTCATGGTCTAAAAGAAAAACACCACAAGAATGAAAAACTGCCTCAGTCGTTCCACTACATAAACCCAATAAAGATAAAAATGAAACAACGTCATATCGTCCAGTAAGTCTCACACCTACTCTATGCAAAACACTAGAACAATAATCACAAATAGACTGAAATTTCACTGTGAAAGCAACAACATCTTCACAAATCAGCAAAGCGGCTATCGCTCCGATAGGTCAACAGCAGACCATATAATTAGATTACAACATGACATCTCCAGAGCATTCACAGCCAAACGATACCTTTGTGCAATCTTTGTCGACTTAACAAAGGCCTTTGACCTTGTAGGGGTGGATGGTCTTTTACACAAACTCCATAATGCAAAAATCAAAGGCCGAATGTACAAGTGGATAGAAGCCTTTCTTAACGATATGCATATCAGAGTACGCGTAGGTAATTGCTTAAGTGACAAATTCAAAATGGAAAATGGAACACCGCAAGGATCCGTTATCAGCCCAATACTCTTTAATATAATGATAAATGATCTTATTAGTTACGTAGGGAATGGCACAGAATCCGCGCTATTTGCTGACGACAGCTCGTTCTGGAAAGCGTCGAACAACTTAGGCATAATCAAAAAATCTCTTCAATACACCCTAAAACAAGTTTCAAAGTGGGCAAATGACTGGGGTTTAAAAATTTCAGAAAGGAAAACGGTAGCAATACTGTTTCATCCAACTGACAATAACAGGGAAATTGATTTAAATTTTAACGGGTTAAAAATTGAATTCGAAACTATCTTGGAAGCCTCATATTGATGGCGTAGTTAGTCGAACATCTAAAACACTCAACATGATGAAATACATCAGAGGGACACAATGGGGCGCCGACAGAATATCACTTATATTAATCTATAGATCATTCATCCGCTCGGTAATCGACTACGGATGTCTGACCTATGCCAATGCAAGTGATGCACAACTAAACAAACTAAACATAATTCAAAACAAAGCATTAAGACTAATAACAAGAGCAGCCATAGGAACCAAAATAGGTGCCCTATTACAAGAGATGGGAGAACTTCCGCTTGCCCTCAGGCGAGAGGAACTGTCACTCAAGTACTGGGGCAAACTACAACTACTAAAGGAAAGATGTCCAACATATAGATGCCTCAAACAATTTACACGTATAGGCTCTAGGAAAAACACTCGTCCGATGACATTTGGGCAGATGTCAAACGATATCTTAAATAAGCACAATTTAAAAGGAACAACCATACAGACAAAAACCTAACCCGTCACTCAATCTTGGCAAAAAAGCGATCCAATTACTACCCCATAGAAGCTAGAGCACTAGCATTAGAATTAATAGACACCAAATGGACAGATCATCTTAAAATCTACACAGATGGATCAAAAAATACTACACAGGGGTCAACAGGGTACGGCATACACATACCCAAAGCAAAGCTAAACATCAGGAAAAGGATACCAGAACACTGTTCTGTGTACTCCGCAGAACTGATGGCCATTAAAACTGCAATAGAATGGCTAGCCACGCAAACACACCAAAAAGCCGTAATCCTGTCTGACTCTCTAAGCAGCATCAAATCCATCGAATCAGATTCCTCAAGAAACAGGCAGGACATAATTCATCAAATTATGGACCTTATTCAAAATCTCAAGAATACTGGAAGAGAGGTAGTCCTTGCATGGATACCCTCCCATGTCAATATATATCATGTATCGTCCTTTTATCTATTGTTTGTACATATATATCTAAAAAAAAAACTAATTATCCGTTTTAATCTATTAATCACACTGTAAATTTTATCACTATGTATACATGTAATTGTCTGCGATATCACTTCGGTGGAAGCGGACGTTAAATAAAGCTATTTCACACACACACACGGTAGATCTTAACGACTTCCTAAGAGACAGAGACGAGGGACGTGGTTAGGGGTCCACTCTATACAAACTTGTTTATTTCATGTCATCGGGACCAACATAATAATATGGTTCAATTTCATTTCGCACAGGGCCTCGGTTTTTCCAACTGAACAATTACACATCCTATCTTGCCAGGCTCTCCGTCGTGTCATGTACCACGTACGGAACTTAGAACCCCGTGATCGAATCCCGGACTTCTTGGTCAGTGAGCGAGACAGCGCTTTACACACTGAGCCACCGCGTCTCCCTGCCTAGCGTCATGGAGTGGCTTTCGTGCTATCCTCTATATTCACATCTTCCATCATGTAGATTACAGCGATGTTCTTCGTGAGCTTGACAGTGGATCACAGTTGCACAATCATGGTTGGTGGCACATGGTTGAGGGATATAACCCCCGATAGGGTGGAAACGGGCGGTAAACAGTAATAGAAGAAAAACCCGGGACATCCTAGTTAGCGAGAAACAACTAGAGAATGTGTCTTCACCACTAACACCATAAACACGGACAAGAAGAAACTCTAGGATCAAACATCCCAGACCCCCTAGTTAGTGAGACGTAGCGCCATATTGTGTCACATTTATAAGAAATAATAATTTGTAACATATATTTACCTGCTAGGACGTCTACTAAATCTGGGCCTACTTTCTTGATCATTTGAGATGCTGTGTATATAATACGGTGGCCTTTTAAGGCCATACCTTGATTTACACCCATTTCTTTAAATTTACGCCATATGAAAAATCTCAATAGAAGCTATGATAAATTCTAAAACCACGAAAAAGGTTTCCACTACAGAGAAAAGGTTTCCATCGCGTAGGAAAGGTTTACATCGCGGAGGGAAGGTTTATACAGCGGAGAAAAGGTTTACACCGCGGAGAAAACTTTATACCGCGGGAAAAAGGGTTATACCGCGGAGAACGGATTTAAACCACGGAGAAAAGGTATCTACGGTGGAGAAAAGTTTTCCATCGCGGAGAAAAGGTTTCCACCGCAGAGAAAATGTGTAATAATATTGCTAGAATTTTTGTTCTTGAAATAAGATGCCTTTATATTTCATTAATTAAGGGTTATACCGCGGAGAACGGATTTAAACCACGGAGAAAAGGTATCTACGGTGGAGAAAAGGTTTCCACCGCAGAGAAAATGTGTAATAATATTGCTAGAATTTTTGTTCTTGAAATAAGATGCCTTTATATTTCATTAATTAATATCTTTGGCAAGTTAGTAATTTCAAACATATTCACATATATAGTGTGCACTAGATCAACTTATTCTGTAATTGACAGTTGACACATAAAAAAGAGCTATTTATCGAAAACATATGTCACTCATTTACCACCAGAATTACACGTGAGTGGAATTATTCTAATTGCATCGATTGATTTAAAGTAACCAATCAATTTGTTAATTACACAAGTTCAGGGCCATGATCACGCGTTATTGTGCATGATATTCATTTACCTTTAAAAGAAACCGGGGAACCCTGTAAGTCAGACTTGCATTAGATTCCAAAGATCGAGGGTACATCTGAGTTCCTAGACAGCCGAGAGGCTGGATATTGTGGAGAAGTGGTTTTAGCTATATATTATTGTAATTTGTGCTATGCTTGTATACCTGTATTCAGTTATATGCTATATAAAATGTAGAAGCGAACTATGCATTATTATTCCTGGTAAGACAAACGTCTTAAGAAACTGGAAGAAGTAAATACACAACGTGAAGCAGAAGTAAAGACAGCTAGAGACAAATTCTAGACGATCACAAGGCTACAGAAATATGTAGCAAGAAAAGATGCATGGGTCGTACGTAGGATGTGGCGACCGGTTTTCTCGCCCGCTCTCCACGTCAGACAAAGGACCTATGGTGCTACAAATGTTTACACCGCAGAGAAAATGTTAACACCGCAGAGAAAATGTTTCCAACGCGAAGAAAAGGTTTACACCGCGAAGAAAACTTTATATCGCGTAGAAAAGGTCTACATCGCGGAGAAAATGTTTCCACGGCGGAGAAAAGGTTTATACCGCAGAGAAAAGGTTTTTTTATATCGCAGAGAAAAGGTTTACAGCGCGAAGAAAAAGTTCACACCGGTGTTGTTTGTTTGATTTATCATAGTTTTCAGTGCGATTTATCAGATTACAAGAAAAGGGTATAAATCAACCTATGGCACTAAAAGGCCACCATAGTATAGACCGCGGTTTTGGTTTAAAAGGATCGGCAAAATAACAGATTAACAAGAAAACTGGGTCTAGTTTTTATTTTAAAATGGACCAAGGAACATTTGTGTTTTACTATAAATAATCAGTTGAAATGAAGACGTGATATATAAGAATTTGTACGTGTAAGAAAATCATCAAAATGAAATTGTTGTTTTTAGTAGCCGTCGTAGCAGGTAAGTAAATATCGGAGACAAGTTGTCTACTTTTGCTATACTCAGCTTAGGGGCTTTTAGTGGTGAAAATGGAGTATCCGGATAAACCCGACGAACTCATGAAGTCCCGGGTTTTCAATCCTCGGATTTGTTTCTGTGACGGTTGTGTATAGCCCGTTGGTGTCATGCTGTCTCATTCAATATGGCGTCTACTCACTAACTAGGGGATATCAGGTTCGTTGAGAATGTTCCTATGTAATTATGTAATTTCCTGTCTTGGCAGTGGTGCAAGAGAACGACTTGACAATGAAGAGGATTTATTACATAAATATATGGCCCAACAGTGTAAATATTGGCGTGCACATAACGATGAGGAACAGCGGCACGCCCGCCTACTCTTGACAGTGGAAACCATTTTGGACACCAGAGCACGTATTTCGGTTAAGAAAGGTATCGAACCCGAGACCTGCTGGCAATTGAACCATCGTAAGAATTGAAGTTTGTAGAATAATTTTGTAGAATAATTTTATAATAAATATGATGTTTTATTTATTTCCAGCTGTATGGGTAGTAGAAGCTCAACGAGTCTGTGACAGCGACCGTGATTGCGCAGCTGTGATCGACTGTCACGCTCACGAAGAACATCACTGTAATCTACATGATGGGAGATGTGAATGTAGAGGTTAGTACGGAAGCTACTTCATGACGCTAGTTGGGGGGCGGCGGGGGGTCGCGGTGACTCAGTGAGTAAGACGCTGACGCGCTCGCTAACCGGAATTAAAATTGAACCATATGTTGGTCCCGATGACTTGAAATGAACTAGTTTGTGTAGAGCGGACGCCCCACCCCACGCATTTTTGTTTATACGTTGATTAAAGTATTAAACATACATTTATCTGTTATATTACAATAAAGCCATGGTCAAACCCACGGATATTACAATAAAGCCATGGCCAAAAGAACGTAAATTATAATAAAGACATGGTCAAACTAACGTATATTACAATAAAGTCATTGTCAAAGCAACGTATATTACTATAAAGCCGTGGTCAATCCAATGTATATTACAACAAAAAAACATGGTCAAACCAATATGAATTACCATAAAGCCATGGTCAAACCAATGTGTATTACCATAAAGCCATGGTCAAACCAATGTGTTTTACTATTAAGCTTTAGTCAAACTAAAGTATATTACTTTGATATGAAAGTGTACTACAGTTATATCAAAATACGTTCAATCCTTTTATGTAAGGTTTCTGCGATATCACAAGTTTTCTGTGAAATCACCATCGGAGAGGAAGTGGATGTTAAGCCTTATCTAGTAATGGTAATATCAAAATGTACTATTTAATTTGTATCTGGTATTTTATGTTTTTCAGACCGCGCTGTTGGAGCCCCACCAGGTACCTGTACTGATGATGACTTGTCTAACTGTCAGTGTGAACATGGCGGAACCCCAGGATGTCTACACAGTCACTGTCACTGTAATCATAATTAAAAAAAACCCAAAATAACAGCCCCCAGAGTGGAAAATACTTTAGTATCACGAGACATCATTTTGAAACAATGAGAATATCCAAGTTGGGTCATGATCATTTTATTTTTTCTTACTTTTATTTTTGTGCTTGAAAACGATATGGGAATACTTGTCGAAACGTTGTGCTATATGTCAATAAATCAGTGATTAATTTCCTTATAAATTGTGATTTTTGGTGGTTTTTGTATGATGTTCAGATTTCATGTGATTCACAAGATGGCAGCCCCTTGGGAGGAAATTACTTTTTAGTATCACGAGACATCATTTTGAAGCAATGAGAATATCCTAGTTGGATATGACCATGCAAATGTCAGACCTTCTGCCTAGGGCCTCCGGACATACCTCTACATTCACATCTCCCATCATGTAGATTACAGTGATGTTCTTCGTGAGCGTGACAGTCGATCAGAGATGCACAATGATGGTTGTTGTGACAAAATAAATAACACATCAAATATAATTATTCTACAAACCCGAATTCTTCTGATGTCTCACTCATCAGAAGGTCTCGGGGTCTATGCCTGTATTAACCGATATCAGTTCTCTGGCCGCTGTTCCTCATCCGTACGTGCACGCCAATGTCCCTACCTCTTGCACCACTGACGACAAGGGCTGGAAAATACACAAGAATTGCGCTTGTACATAAATATATAACACCAGATATTCAGCAAGTATTGTATACATGTATCATGTAGAACTTGTTGTCATTATACAATAGACACTGTCCCGTAATTACCAATATATGACCAACAAATTTGGATATCGCAAGATACATGTCCGAATGTTTTAGGCATTCCCAAATTATTAGACACAGTGTAGAATTTGCTGTAATTATAAGCGGCCAAGTTATTGCCGATATTTGAACAGCAAATTTGGATATCACCAGATACACGTCCGACCGCCTGAACAGGGCTTTAGTTATTCGCGAATTACTATTTAGAATTTGTTGTAATTATAAACGGTCCAGTTATTACCGGTATTGGAATTTAGACATCTTTACATCGCCCATATCAATAACAACTTGAAGCAACTAAGTAGAAAATAAGTTAGGAATTTATACTTTTTCTTTCTTCTTTTCTCTGCAATTAAAACCGTCTTTTACCAGGCATGCCTGGAAGCAGATTGCCAACAAAATCAGACTCCAACCTGTATTTTGATTTCTTCACTTTACAGACGCCAGCCAAAGAAACATGGATTCTGTCAAAAAAACAAGCAGACACAGTTTGTTCAACTAGCTAAAATACACATTTCATACGATGTAAAAATTCCATGTCATATTCAGAAGATTATTCCTCATACCCAGGTCGACTTTGATGTTGTTCTTTTTTTTCCAATCTAGCATTCAATTATCTGAAAGTTGGCGTCAATTAGCTCCGAAGCTTTACACAGATTTTGCCCACTTAAAAGACGCGAGCGGCTAACTTTTTGTTTGCTACGTCGAATTACGACAATTGCATCAGTAATTAAACGTGTTCTGCTCAAACATCAGTCGCATATAAAGCGAGGAGCTTTATTATTCCGACATTTAAAAAGAACTGCACCTCCAAAATATCTTTGGTCTCATATCATTCTATTATCCCCTTACTTTGCACGAACACGTTTCCCTAGATCAAAGTTTTATTCAAATCTTTAATAATTCAAACAAAATTTAGACTAAAAGCGATGTCGATCGGTCTAGAGGCACGCATTACATTCGCAGGGAAGTGATCCTAATTTCATTCACTTGTATTTCCATGGAGTCAAAATTCTCACAAGAATTATTTGATTGTGATATTGGGTGCAACAAGGTTCTCATTTAATTCTACTGTTATCGATTGTCTACGGATAAAAGCCAAATGATAGAATTTCATGTGGATTTCCTGGGCATTTTACGCTTAAATCAAGGGCGCGTTATCATCTTTATCGGGTGTTTATTGGAACTTTGTATATAGTGCACGTAAAAGATCCATTGACAGTTGGAATTCGATATAATAGTAGGCCGTATAGTGCCGCTGTCCGGGCCAAATTTCCCTCATGGCACAATGTACGGCGTATGCCCGTCTTTATTAGCCCAGTTCGGAACAGAACAGTAGGACGTTAAACCCCATTTCATTTCATTTCATTTCTATCAGAATGTAAGGTGGCATAGATTGAGGTGGTTCGAACTGAGAACAAGCCGGAGCTTATATAAATTCAGCTGCCCTCTATTTTGCATGGCTAGCAGGCAGATTGGAAACTCACGAATCACTGCCTTGGCGAACACCGGGATCGAGCCCAAGACCAATATGTTATTGACGGAAGCCATGATTCTTATGACTGACGTTTGTAAAGTGAAGAAATCTAAACACAGGTTGATTTCTGATTTTATTACAGCAATCTGCTTCCAGGCACGTTTGGTAAAAGACGGTTTTATTTGCAGAAAAATAAAAGTATAAATTCTTACATTATTTTCTATTTGGTTGGTTCTAGTTGTTATTATCACTGTTATGAATGGGGAAAAATGTCTGGATTCAACAAATAATTACAACAAATTCTACATATCATATACATAATTCCTAAATACCTAAAGCCCTGTTCAGACGGTCGGACATTTATCTGTTGATGTCCAAATATCTTGGTCAAATACGAGTAATAGCGGGATCATATGGTTTCACTAACTTGTTTGGCCAATGACTTGTGAGCAGTGTAATGAAATATGCAGCTGAAAATCTAAACAACGTCATACAAGTTTTATAGAGTTATTGTTTAATGATGATTACAGTGACAATGACCGTGTTGACATCCTGGTGTTCCAACATGTTCACACAAGTCATTATCAGTACAGGTAGCGATGGGGCTCCAAAAGCGAGGTCTGGAAATATGAAATACCAGACACAAATTAAACACATTTTGATATTACATTTACTACATGAGGCATCACATCCGCTGCCATGCCGAATGTGATATCACAGCAAACTTCTTCCCAATCAAGGAAGTATTAATTACATATATGATTGAGCGTATTTTGATATCACTAACATTCAGCATGTTTTAATATCACTTACATTCAGCGTGTTTTGATATCACTTACAATCAAGTTAGAAAGTAATACATATTGGCTTTATAATAATACATGTTAGTTTGTCCATGAGTTTACAGTAATATACATTGGTTTGACCAAGGCTTTATAATAATATACATTGGTTTCGCCATAGCTTTACTGTAATATACATTGGTTTGATCATGACTTTATTGTAATATAATGGGCTTGGCAAGGGCTTTAATGTAATATACATTGGTTTAATATACGTTGGTTTGACCATGGCTTTATTGCAATGTATTTTAGTTTTGCCATGTCTTTATTGTAGTATACATTGGTTTAGTCATGTCTTTATTGTATTATAACATATAAATATAGGTTTAATATGTCAATTAGCGTGGTAACCGGAATGCAAGCTTTAATTACAAAACCTACCGAATTGAACGGTAGATCTTTACGACTTTCTAAGAGACAGAGACGAGAGATTGGGTTTGGTCTACTCTCTACAAACTAGTTCATTTTATGTCATCGGAACCAACATAATAATATGGTTCAATTTCATTCGCATAGGGCCTCAGTTTTTCGCTCAACCGAAAGACTAGACGTCCTCTCTTGCCAGGCCCTATGTCGTTTCCTTTAGCACTTACCGAACAGAGAAACAACGCAGGAAAATTCAGTGGTGCTTTCTTGGCCAACACTGTGATCGCAGCCCGGAACTCCTGGTTAGCAAGCGAGGCAGCGCCTTACTCACTAAGCCACCGCGTTTCCCAGCCTAGCGTCATGGAGTGGCTTCCGTACTAACATGTACATTCACATATTCCATCATGTAGATTACAGTGATGTTCTTCGCGAGCTTGACAATGGATCACAGTTGCACAATGATGGTTGTTGTGGCAGACTCGTTGAGCTTCTACCACCCATACAGCTGAAAATAAAGAACACTTCAGATATAATTATTCTACAAACTTGAATTCTTCTGATGTCTCACTCATCAGAAGGTCTCGGGTTCTATCCCTGTATTAACCGATATAAGTTCTCTGGTCGCTGTTCCCCATCTGTACGTGCACGCCAATGTTCCTACCTCTTGCACCACTGACGACAGGTACTGGACAATACCTAGAAACATGGCGCCAACATTCTAAACACAACCGTCCCAGGAACAAATCATCCGATGATCAAACTCACGGGACATCAGGGGTTGAGATTGTCTTTTTTTCTGGCACTATTTATTCTAGAACACATACTTATGAATGAACAATTATTAATTTATTTAGGCGACGTTTCGAAGGGTATTCTCTCAACGTTGATAGAATACTCTTCGAAACGTCGCCTAAATAAACCAGTAATAGTTCTTCCATAAGTAGCCTATTTTTTATAGTTTATTGCCCTATCCAGTTACTAAATGCCTCTAAAAGATCACTATTTATTCAATAAATATTTACATATTTTAAAAGTACACTATATAATTATGGGATCTGAAAACATGACGGAGCTTATATAAATTCATCTCGCCAGGAATATAATAAAGTACATTGTATACTATTGCAATCATAAATAAATGAAATGAAATGAAATGGGGTTTTACGTCCTACTGTTTTACTTCGAACTGGGCTAATGAAGGCGGGCATACGCCATACAGTGTGCTACGAGGGAAATGTTGCCCGGACAGTGGTACCACGGTCTACTCTAATATCGAATTCCAACTGTCAAGTCTGCTAAAGACCCTTGCGTGTGGCCTGAGCATAGTAAAATAAGACAATTTGTCTGCGATATAACCCTCGATAGGGTTGAAGTGGGCGTTAAACAGTAATGCAAGAAAAACCCGGGACATCCTAGCTAGTCAGCAAGAAACAACTAGAGAATGTGCCTTCACCAGTAACACCATGAGCACGGACCGGAAGACACCATAGGATCAAACATCCAGGACATCCTAGTTAGCAAGAAACAACTAGAGAATGTGTCTTTACCACTAACACCATGAACACGGACAGACAGAAACTCTAGGATCAAACAGCCGAGACCCCCCTGGTTAGTGAGAAGCAACTAAAGAATGTGCCTTCACGACTAACACCATGAACACGGAAAGGAGGAAACCCTAGGATCAAACATCCCAGACGCCCTAGTTTGTGAGACGTAGCGCCATATTGTTTCACATTTATAAGAAA